AGTTGATAGTGTAAGCGCAGACAATTGAGTGGGTCATAATACGAACGCATCGCTCTCTAGAAATGTTTTTGCTAAACCATGATTCTGTGAGTGTTCCGTTTATGTCGGTGAGTGGAAGTTCCGCAATCCGATGCTCACTGGATCAGTAAGTTATTTTATTTTGTCACGTTTGCATTATCAAGTTCCGCATGTCTTAATTAGGACATTATAGCATGAAATATTAACTGTTCTTCAGATCATGGAAGCGCCCGTGAATGATTCTTGATTTAGTTTCCATTTTCTTGCAATATATAATATTTGACCGCGCCGCTTGTACATGTAGTACTTGCTGGTCGAGCATAACTGGCTTTCTCGAGCTCTACGCTGTGATCGGAATACCCACGAAATATTTATGATAATACCACATAATTATATCAGTTTATCGTATATACTGAGCTGCGCGAGTCTGAGACGCTATTAAAAGACGGCAACTGACGATCGAGAGAGCTTGGGGTAGGTTAGGTTTGAACACCTAACAGAAAAATGTACCGATAACATATTTCAAGTAAGTGGGAAGAATAACACTTGGCAATAATGAGTTCTAAATACGGCTTTGCCGTGTTTACGAAAAGTCTGCGATATACGGCAAATACGTATAGATTACGGGAGAAGATTACGGGTTAACTAAGGCAGCCAGTAATAGGTAGAGTGAACGAGCCAATGAAGCCCTAGTTCTAATGTTGTCAATCAATGCTGCGAATAGCCATATGCTGTACAGACTTCATGCTATAAATGTGACGCGCGCCGGGAGAGCAATCGCGTCGTTAAATCAGACTATTTGCTATGGTGTTCCATAATAAATGCCAGCAGGTAGGCCTTTTGCTACAGGCTGTTGAAAACACGAAAATATTACCATGTTCGTGACAAACCGCTAAGAAATCCTCGAAATCACCCTCTGTTGAACGACTGCAGGACTTCAGTGCGTGGCTAAGTATGGACACGAAGTAGAGAGTGGTGCTCAAGGACAAAGGGTTGGACTCACACACCATGCACCGCAGCCACGCGCAGATTGACCTCTTGATCTAGAAAGGATTAGAGTCTGAAGAATTTTTTCGTGAGGTTAAACACTATACGATTCACAACTGTCTGGTCTATTTCAAAGCTTCGTGTAAAAACGATTGAAAATTCGGTTAGAAATGCATGTTATTACGTATTACGGCTAAAATTTTTGATGTACAGCAGATCAGGCGACCTCAGACAAGTCTCGAGTCAATATCCTATTTTTTGTAATGTTCTTTTTATGCGAGATGGAGAAACCAGTTCCTTGACCCACCTTCTCTGCAAACATTCTCTGACATTGCTGGGCAAACGTGATAGGCTAACAGGGCACACGGCTTATAAGGATGCATGTGGAGTTTCTAACGTGTAGTTATTGGTAAGAGCTTACGTTTACTGGGCCTGACATTGGCCATTCCACGTTAGCCAACAGCTCGTCGATGCGTTCGATAGAAGTGCGAAAATCGAGCTGCCTTTTGTTAGCTGAACAAACACATTAGCACAAATATAAACAAAGCCGTCTGTACAGCATAGTCTTATTTCTAATCTGTCTATGCAAATTTAAGCCGGAGAATCTCTGAGGTCACGAAACCACTGCTTTCTGGAAGAGTGAAGTTATTTTCAGATCAACATTTTAGCAATTCTTTAACTTTTAGTGCAATGCTGTTGTATATCAATGCGATTTGCTGAAATGGTGTCAAAGTTGACATTATTACCAATATAGCCAAGCTATGCTGGTACATAGCCGCTGCTTTTACTTTGGCCTTCAAAATCCTCACATAGTGATGTGCACAACATGTAGCGCTTCTGCTTATCGTACACGCACGTTACGAAACCAAAACGACTCCATGACTATGCACGCTGATGGAGAGCATATAGTGCGCCTAGTTTATCATAGCAATCAATTACTTATATATGTGTGTGTGTCATCTACGAAAGTACTACGAATGTCATCTTTATCAAAATGAATAGCTATTATGTCTACCTATTTCGGGTCGTGCGTCACAGGCCAGATTGAAGTTACTAACAAGTGAGCGCATTGCTCCGAAATTGTTTTCGTAGTCGGTGGTCAACCGGGTCCAGACGATTCGAACTCGTTCACTTACTAACCTATATACTTTCTATATAATAGCATGTAAAATGAATGTCCCTAATAGATTTTACCGTTCGCTAATATAGGCTGGTTGCCAAACGAAGACTGAGACAGATGGGCAGCCATTGAGTGATGCTTTGGTAATATATATTCGTTTCGGTTCTTGACGCTCTGCGCAAAATTTATACTGTCGGAAAAACGACTGGCAAAGGCAATCCGTTAGTAACGAACGCCACGCTGATCACAGTATTTAGACCACTCCTCACGTCTCAAGATACGATAAGCGTGTTCTAACTAAGAAAATAAAACTGGGAATTTACCGAAATATCACAGGGGAGCTTGATTTTAACCACCAGATGAATTAAGCTACCTGCAGCCATAAATACAATTAAAAGCCTCATGTTGCTGGTAGCTATGGATACGTGAGTAAATAAGTGATATGTAAATAATAGGTTAGTGCAGATGGCTGTTACGTATCTACAATAAAGGTCTGGTAAAATGAAAGTGTTGGTCGAGACTCGAATGAAAGAATCCTTGTTTAAATCCAGGCCCATTAGCACCGTGAGGTAAACAATACATTACATAAAAAAGGTTTGCTTGCGTCCACGCCATTGTACTGAAAGTCCGCGTAAGAAAAACTTGTGTATTGTTAGCAAGTTATAACAAAATGGGTCTAAATGGAAATCTATGGACAATATCAACTTTTAAACAGAGGGAGCGGCACGCATTCGGACAAATTATGGATTTGTGTTTTATAGGGATAGGTATAGCTTCCTCATCACTATCCCGTTCTTTTTATAAATGCGACAAGATAAGTACAGTCACGATTCTAATTTTTATATCAGTAATAAAATTTCATATATAGAAAGCTTATGGCTTAGATCCTTGAGGAATACCTGCAGTGCTTAAATAATGTGATTTTATTTGCACTTTTACCAATTATAGGGTATCAGCTCTGTGTAAGGAATCGCACGCAGCTGCTGTTGGAGTGCTGGTCCTATTTTAGCTATTATTTAAAAATTAATTGCCATATATATATATATATATATGGTTTATCGAAGAAATATTGATAATTTTAAGCCAAAATTGCAGCAATTGTTTTTTAATATTTTTTATAGTTTAAAATAGTATTACAAAACTAAAGCTGCGCAATTTTGATCGATCACTATAAAATATCTGCGATGTCTGGGCGCTAAACTGCGATATGTGATCTTTACATTGTTTACTTAAAACAAAATTAAGGGAGTTCTGTAGAGGCCGAGACGGATAACAATCTGATGGTGCAAGATCTGTTTTTGTGGTGGAAGACAACACACTTGCTATTCACTGGGCTCCCTTCGATTCATTTTTTTTATAACTTGCTATAATTTAGTTAGTTGTAGAAACCTGAATCGGTCGTCATTTGTCAGGCGGTAGCAATTCATAATGTGTGGTTACTTGCCAATTCCACCAAATATATAAAATTACCACCTATGACATCAGTCTTGGTTTTGCCACACATTATTGAGCAGATCCTTTTTTATTTGCATATTATTGTTGTATGCGATTTACTTCTCATAGCCGGTGATCAACTGCTATAGAAATAGCTCTCCTTCGTAATGTTCCTGAAGAATACCGCAGATGAGGATACCGTCGAGTAAATCCTTTTGCGTCAATCTGTGTGGGATCCAAGCATCGAGCTTTTTATAACGCAAGTTTTCTTCAAATGATCTAAAACCGTTTGATGGCGGATGTTTTAATTCATGACTACATACGTGACGTTCTTACTCAACTTTCGCAGTAACTTCGTCAGTTTTCCCCGTAATTGGTCGACCACTACAAGGAGCATCTCTCCTCTATCGAAATTTTTAGAACGAAAGCGACAGAACCGTCTTTGGGCCGTCTCTTCCGATAGCGCATTTCAACCATAAATAGCACGATTTTTTTATATGCTTGAGAAATATTTAAAATTTTCCCGTCTTTAGGGCCTTCTATCCTAGCCTGCATGAAGGCACTTCTAGCCCATTTACTACTGCCAAATCTCACCTTTCAAATGACGCCAACACCGACGCGACTCTGATTGTTTAACGTGTGCTACTTAAAACCCATCTGGCGAGAAAAATGGTCAACACTTCTTCAACAAGCCAATATGACAGCCGGAATCCGAATGCGCTAACAAATTTTTCCTCTCCTCTACATTAGCTTAATATCATCATTATCAATGCGACATCTGTTTCCCTGTCATCGTCTTCGAACGCGTGGCATCGATAACTGTATCTTTCTGATGCTTCGTTCTTAGCCTAGGCGTCACAGAGACGAAATTCTCATGTTATCCTCATTATCAGAGTCCTGGACATCAAGAGGGAACGCTGTGGTCGCGCTCTCTGCCATCACTGCAGCCAGCAATGTCAAGAGGGATTTAACTACTTAATGTGGTTGACGCAGTGGCTGCAACAAAGTGCAACAGCGGCAGTAGCGATCCGCACCGATGGCAAACGAATCGAAGTGGTCGAAAAGGACGAAGCAGATGCGTAGATGTTTGTTACTATAGTATTACCCTACTGATGGTGCTTGATCCTGTTGGCGTTGATGATACTCATGATGATAGAACTGCCAAAATCATACTGGTGTTGTTGGCAACAAAATGTTGTTGATCAAAAAAGCCAGCAGCCGATGAAGGGGGAACCCACCACCGTTATAACTTCGACTTTTCCGTCGCTGCTGCGCCTGGTACTTTGACTGGCTCCCTGCCCTTTCCGGCGCGGGTTAGCGCTCTGACCGTGTAGTCGGGCAGCAATAGCATCAGCAGCGCCGTTGGCAGCTCGAGCGCTGTCATTCTCACCCGATAAATTCTTCTTTTTTATCTTGTTCGTTGTCTTCTCCTACTTGTGTTCTTCCCCCCGGTGACGCGAGAAGGATCAGCAGAGGCAGAAATCAGCGGTGTTCAGACACTTGAACGCGAGTTGGTGCGGGTGCGGGTTAGACCCACTTCGTCGCTCGGACTTCCTTCGTAGCTTCTTGCTGTAGTTGATTGGAAACGATTTTGTCTATAGATTCGTTGCTGCCTACACGAAGCCCAGTTGGAAAAGGCCAAAAAGGCCGAGTTCTATCTGTAATTACGTGGTACATGCCCCGGTATACTATAATAGTGGTGATTATAGTGTTGTGGTCAATATAAACATATACATATAGTTATAACAGTACTATAACGAACAAGTCGACGTCCCCTGTCGATCAACTTACTTGACCTGCGTTCTTGGGTGGTCCTGATAAAATTGAGACGACTTTAACAGAAGACACAAGCTACAGATCTTCTATCTGTACACTTGTCTGTGTAGTGTTTCTTCTATCGCAAGTGGTTCTCCGCCTTCAAGGTGAGCTTCGTCAAGCACCATAGCTATATGGATGGAGGAATATATAAGCGTAGACGCCAGAGGATACACATAAAAGTAACAACACTTTTAGAAACATATTTATTGTACCCAACTGTCAATGCACATTCGAGTCCCTTGTCCAACAGTTCGGGCAATGACCGGTAAGATTTGTAATGGTGTTTGCTAAAGCTTATGGTGGTATTGCGTGAGGATGTTAGCAAGGATTACGACAATCCGTGAAGTGAAAGTCGCGCGAGCTGAGGAAACGCTGTGTGAACGAGACGTTGAATAAAAAGCGGAAATGTGGATTAAATTGACCTTGTGATTAGGTACCAAGGCGATGAGTACGGTCCGGGTGCAGACACAGATCGCATCCGCTGGTGATTTAAAGACGGACGCCTGTTGCAGATGAAAACTGACGATACAACAGCTAATATATGTTGAACGAGTGATGCGGATAGCTTTATCAGCGTTAGAATATTTGCTTGTGCAATAGTTCAATTCTTTTATGTCTTTTATCCGATTTAACTTACCTTAGCGGTTCCGTAGTGGATCACGATTCGGTGTGTTCAGCAATGCGAAGTGAAGATAAAGGGAACTGTCGTAAAACGACATAGCAGGAAACACCGAATGACATAATCATTCTTAATCAAGCAATGCACGTTCTTCTTTTTCACGCACTATTACGTATTATTTGACAAGATACTTGAAGCAGGATACCTTAGCGCGCGACGAACAAGGTTTTTGGCCGGGCGTTGGTACGGAGATGTTTTAGCCCAGCGCAAAGACAGCGTAACAGCTGATTAACTAACTTGTAAGACTTGCGGCGTTGAGTTACCTGTTGAACACAAAATCTCATGTTTTACCTGGAAGAACTAATAAGGGACCCGCTTAGGCGAAAAGTGAGACGTCTAAATACTTCGAGAAGACGTAAAATAATATTATCGGCTAACAACCCTTGAACATGAATGAATAAGATTTCTCTGTTAGAAGGGCCTTTGTTATTAGGCTTTAAACAGTGTAACACATCGCAGACGACATACTGTTAGGCTCACTCAATAAAAAACACTCGGTGATCCCTCGGCTATATATATGGCCATGACCAGAAATTTTTGAAAATTCACGCCGCACTAAAATGTAGGAGAGGCCTAAGAATCGAATCGGACCAGCATAAAAAATGCATCGTTTCGAGGGCGTCGATGAGCGATTCTCCGCGTCGTAGAGATCATTTGTTGACTAGCCGCCGATTTTCTTGTAACGTCCCTGTCGCAAACGACGTTAGTACTGACGGCTTCAATGTTCAAATGAGAACATGTGCGTTGGACAATTGAAGATGAGCTCTAGCAACAATGTTCATTTTATAGTTAATATATAATTCTGAAAAACACCAGATACTAAAGCTTATTCTGCCCGGTTCATCTTGATGATGCAGATAAAGCGCAAAGATTTTTAGGTACCTTAACATTTATAATACTGCGTGGTTCGCTGACCAAAGATGTTGTAATTCAATATATGTTGAAACAAATAAAAATAATATTACTGCATTATTATTGGTAAGCATGCAGGTGTGTAGCTTTTGTCCAGCATAACGTTTTACATGAAAAGACTCGATTTTTGAGTAAGCAGGACAAAAAATGTGTGTAAAATACAAGTGACATTCTGTTTTCGCATCTTGTTGAATCGAAAGAGAGGTTAACATCACTTGAATGGCTTGACGCTATCCGACATTATACACGAGTCAATATATGTTGTTGTACTCACAGGCGCGCGGGGTGTGACACTTTCACTTCAACACTTTCTGGGTGAAAGTTGACAATCAACCATTCGGCAAAAGCAGGACCTTTCAACATGCTTTTATAGTCCACATATCGCGCTTCCTTAACTAAATGTGATTTTTGATGCTGCCACTGACCATTTTTTCTTGGACAACTAGTATTCTCATACCTGTAGCAATACAACGACAACGATAAGTACGCAGATTGATCTAATAATGGCGAAGGTCGAAGAATAGTAACGATGAACCATAAAAGGGGCAAACTGCAAGGTTTGAAGTGGAGGAAGAAAATGTTCGGAGACTCGAGCTACCTATATATGTATATGTTGTTCGCTGGCTCGAACACAGATCCAATATGAATAGAGTTCCCGTAACAGATGTCACTATAGGTCTTCTATGTATTCTTATTAAGACTCGAAAAACCTTCCTATCCAGTTGTTACTCTGGCATTTGAATTTGTAAATCTTATGACTTGTATCATTCGGTGCTGGTTGAGCCGCCGCGAGGTCATTGTACGTGAGCAGAGAGAGATTCAATTTTGCTACAAAGCTAACGGTCAATGCTCATTAGAGCCGGAACATAGATTCCAATTGTTCTGTGAACGGTAGCAGGAATTGCTGTAGCTCGTTTTATCTTCGTCGAGATACGTAAACGGAAGCGTGGGCAGATCGTGGTGGTAATAAGTTTATTTTCTTACCGTACTTCATTTTTAGAACACGTTCAAAGCAAATCTACTTAACCATTAGTTAGTTCTGTTTGCAGAGATAAGGCGCAATAATTTACGCCTATATATCAAGATACATTAGCTTTTATTAAGCATTTTGCTGTAGTTTTTGTTCATGAGTTCAGCTGATGTAGCAGGTACTCGGAAAACTGAGCCAATCCACTTATAAAATTTGCATAGTTTGGCCAAATTGGGATCCAAATGTGCTGGTCCAAAGCTGGCCCGGAGTTCATAAAAGTCATATGCAAATGTATTGCCTTTCTTAGTAGGTGCTGCAATAGTGATATATATCTAACTTGTGTACAGCAGCAGAAATAAACCCCACGACCGAGTAATGTATAGCGATTTGCCTCTGGTTCTATTATTAGAGGCCGTGAAATTTCCAATGCGATGGAGACGCGCAGGTTCAATTAGCTCGAATGCGGTGATTACAAATGCACAGTACATTGCAAAAATGATCTGACGCAAAAATCACAGGCTTTTGCCATGAAAACAGATGAAGGTGCTAAATAGCTCTTTCACTTTCATTAGCCACATAGGGGCGAAAAAGTGCCCCATGTAGTAACTTACGAATCCGGCCGAGATCGTTCTGCCCTGTCCCAGAATTTCCCAAAGAAGGATCCTCATCTACAAGCGGGGGGATATCAAGAATGAAAATTCTGAATTAGCCATAGTAGTGAGCACAAGGAAACAAAAACGAAGGATAAATCACTGCCTTTGTTCCTTGGTTAATGGGCTGTCTCATGGAAGTAGATCGTAACAACTGAAGACAAATCGCGCTTTAATCTTTGCGCACCTGCTGCTTCTGCACCTGAAACATTGATCTAGATATATCGCGCGTGCACTCATATCTGTCGTGGAATTACATTTTCGTTTTTCTTACGCCTTCCTTTGTTTATCATCATTAAAGGCCCCATCTCTTTTCTTGGCTTACGGCGTTCTTTTTATCGGGCAATGGTGGCTGGTGATCCTTGCCGGGGTTACTGTTGTACTGACCGCCAACCGCTAAACTGACACAAAAAACAACACGACTTATTTTTTCTGGTTAGTCGGTCGTCGCGACCGTTGTCAAGAACAACATAGGTCTCGGCAGCAAGGCCTCCGACGGCTCCAAGAAAAGGTCCTATAGCCAGTGAGGTTCTGCAGGCCAGCAAAGCGGAGTCACCTTTGTAGTTACTCCTGTTTCGAAACACGCTGTGGGTGTTGTTGCTACTATGATGTCATTATTTGAGAGTTGAGAGACGAAGAGGAAAAAAAGTACAGCAAGGCGATCAAGACGAGCAGCCACAGAACTTTGTTTATCGGGTTACCCGAAACGGACCGCGCCCACCTCCACACTACACCGGTCTGCTAGCTGTCGCCTCGTCTTTTTTGCAGGTTCGCATCCCGGTAAAACTCGCTAAAATATTTCTACGAATATGTTATTGTTACGTTACAGCGGAGGTTCGTCGTTTGCAAAGAGACGATAAAAATGGGGTAGGTCTTCGATCTGTTTAACGTTAACGTTCATGAATATTGTCCTTCTTATATTGGCGAAAATAATCTGATACTCACTCTTGGACCGGTCTTTTGCGGGTTTATCGAAGAACCAGTCATCATTGTATGACTACAGCGGACGTTGATTGACGTGCGAAATGCGTGCATCTGTATGTCTCTAACACAATATTGTTGTAGTGAACACTAACGGATAACCAAATTGACCTACTAAGGACATTTTTGGACCGTCTAGTAGCTATTAACATTCACTGTAGTCCCAGCCTCATAGTGTGCTGTGTCTGATAATATACCTAATTATACCATACAAAAATACCAAAAATTAATGAAATATTACGTACTATGTTAACGATTACTTATCCATTTGGGGCACATGTTTGCTACTCAGAGCCTGTTATTATAATTAGAAGGAACCGCGTTTATATTGGCTACGCTCTGGTAAGTTCTCTATGCGACTGATATAAGGGAAACGTCCCGAAGCAAGATAAGTCGCTTTACATTTTGGAAGATGCTCGGATATTTGTGTTCGCAGGGACGTCTCGCCCGTGCGATTAGCATTAAATCTTAATTCCAAGAAACCAATCCGTAGAACGGCGTGCTTTTAACGTATCAATCGACGCAAATAACGTTGATGATAAACACGTAACGGGTCTGGTAGCTATTTCCAGCAACGAATGCGCTAAACTTGACGTTAAGTTGCCGTCCTGAATATATAAGCCATTTTTAACCGGGTTGAAATCCTCTGAGGCTGATGTTTTGCGGGGTCCCCTGAGCAACTATGTATTGAAGAGAAAATCATTATATTCCCCGTAAGAAATACCCTATGAATAATATTGAAAAGTTATAAGTCTATTATAAGCCCTTGTATCCGAACAACAATTATACGCGCACCATCCATACCAATATAACATAGGCACCGTTAGCCCCGTCAGAGCGAACGCAGGATGATATCTCAGTTCCCTCGTAAAAGTGAAATAAACACGCGTTTCATTCCACTCGTGAACGTTT